CAAAAAATTTCAGTAGTTGCCAATGCCATTTCCTTGGGGTGTGAGCATGCGTGTGAATTTGGACATATTTCAAGAAAGTCTTTGTTTGTTTGTAAGTCAAATTCCTCTCAATGAAGATGATATCATGTAAATACGTTTTGTATCAAATAAGGTTGTCATATAAGTGATGAAGGAGAATGTGTGGGCAAGCGTGAGCTAAATTTGATTAGTTTGAAGTATTCGAAGTACACCGTGAGTGTAATGACTCGGACGGTCGTTTTGAATACTTTAGCCCTATTTTCCCTATTTCATACTTTACATATGTGTATTTGTGGTCATGTAACTTGTCGGGGTCATTGGTCTGGTTTCGGGAAGGTTTTGGAGTGAATTGGGATACTTAGTCCCAAGGTTAGAAGCTTAAGTTATAAGAGTTGATCGAAGTTTGACTTTAGTGTAAACGACTCTGGAATAGAGTTTTGATTATTTCAATAGCTTTGTATGGTAATTTTTGACTTAGGCGTATGTTTGTATGTAGATTCGGAGGTCCGTAGGTTGGTTTGGTACTTTTTGGCGAAAGTTGGAAAGTTAAAGATTTGGAAGGCTAATAGGTTTGACCGAGAGTTGACTTTGATGGTATCAGGTTCAGATTTTTGTTCTGGAGTTGAAATAGGTCTGTTGTATCATTTGGGACTCGTCTGCAAAATTTGAGGTCATTCGAAGTTGATTGGTATGGTTCGGCTTGAGTTTTGGAAGTTAAAAGTTCATTAGTTCATTAGGCTTGAATTGGTGTGTGATTCGTGGGTTTGATATTTTTTTATATAATTTGAGGCTTTCAGTAGGTTAATGTTATGTTTCGAGATTGGTTGGTGTTTTTGCACGGGGTCTCGGGAGCCTCGGGTATATTTCGGATTGATGACAGATCATTTTTGGACTTAGAGGAATTGCCAAAGTTTCTGAGTTCTGATGCTTTAGCACCTGCGATGGATTGGCCGCAGGTGCGAGGCTCAGCTGGATGACCGCAGATGCAGAGTTAAGCTAGTTGAGGCTAGGTTCGCAGGTGCAGACAAGGAAGCGCAGATGCACTTGCGCTCGAGCAGTAGGAGTCCGCAGAAACGGACTCGCAGACGCGAAGGAGGATCTGCAGAAGTGGTCCATTGACCGCATAAGCGGCACCGCAGGTGAGGTTAAGTGTCTGCAGGTACGGGATCACTAGCATTGTTATATTTCAAAGGGTTTAATTGCTTTTCTCATTTTGGAAGTTGTGGAGCTCGGCTAAGGGCGATTTTTGAAGTGCTTTTCATCACTATTGAAGGGGTAAGTGATCTAATTTTGGTGTTAGTTATTAATTACCCATTGATTATTACACCTAATTTTCATGAATTAAAGGCGGGATTTGGGGATTTTTGGACTATGATTTTGGAGAGTGAGATTTGATCATTTGAAGGTGGATTTGAGGTGGGAATTGAATGAAACACATGTATTTGGACTCATATCGAAATGGGTGTTCGAAATTTGTGAGTTTGGTCAGGTTCCGGGGGCAAGCGCGAGTTGACTTTTTGATTTTGGTTAAGATCTTAGATTTATTATTTGGAATCGTTCCTTATGCCTTTTATTGATGATATTATGTTATTTTGGCTAGATTTGAATCATTCGGAAGTTGATTCACGTGGTAAGGGCTAATTAGAGGATTTATTTAGCTTGCTTGAGGTAAGTATTTTACCTAAACTTGGTTAAAGCAATAGTGGCCTGAGTTATTTATTATAACTATGTGCTATGGGTGGTGCACATGTGTGAAGCTAAGCCCATGTGCATGCACCGATATATTATCCATGCTCGGGGTAGTGCTTAGGCTATGATATGCCTTGAATTGATTACTAAGCTTCATGTTGTGATGCCTCTCTTATTTGTACCCCTGTTATGAGGTAGTTGAGCCATGTTTGAGATTACATAGAGGTTAATCTCCTGATTGAACCTGATAGTTGCTATTTTGTGATGTATTTACTTGATTTAGGATGTGATATCACCCATGCACATGCATACACCTTAACATGTCATTTATACCAGTCCAAGAGTATGAAATTTGATATTCGTAGATCATATACATGTATTCTTGTATATTTGCATTTTGTGTGATATGGTTTGGACTGGTAGCATGTGACTGCGCTGGGAAAATTGTGATATTATAGCATGTGACCATGCGGGGCGGATTATAATATTGTGCATGTGACCACACGGAGCGGGTTGTGATATTGTGCCTATGACCACACCGGGGGGATTCGTGATACTGAGCCTATGACCACGCCAGGTGGATTATGATATTGAGCATGTGACCACGTCAGGCAAATTCTGATTATTGCACGTGACTACGCTGTGCAGCGTGTGGATATGGATCTATCCCCCTAGGGTCACCCTCTTATGTTTTTTCTTGATGGTATACACGCGGATTGAGAAAAATTGATCAGTGGTTTGGTACTATTATGGAAATTCTGAGGAAAAATTGGCCAGTGTTTGATTTGGTTATTCCATTTCATCTTTACTTGCAACTTCCTTGACTACTATCTGTTTTATTTGCATATCTTCTTTATATGCTGGATTTTTGACTAGGCAAAGTACGTTAAGTAATTGTATGCACCAAAGGGGTCCTTTTTGTGATTCATGACCTGATCATATTATTGTTCGGTACTTGTTGCATTTATGAACTGTACAGATGATTAGCAAGTATCATTTATAATTCTTGCTTCTATTACCTCACCGAGGTTAGTTATGATACTTGTTGAGTACATGGGGTCGGTTGTACTCATACTACACTCTGTACTTAATTGTGCAGATCCATATGTTAGGCTGAGCCGCCAGTAACGGGGTTTTGCTTGCTGAGTTATCCAAGAGACGAGGTAGAGTTGCATTTCGACTGCAGTCTTGGCGTCTCTTTTCATTTTATATTGTTGTCTTTATTTCGGACAGTATTGTTTTTTAGATTTTCAAACATGTATTTTTGTTTTAGAGCTCGTGACTCTGTATTTACTAGTTCTAGTTTATTTATCATGTATAGGCATTATTATGTTATGTTAAAGGCTTTAGACTTGTACTATTTTGTTAATACTGTTATTATGATTCGTCTTTGTTATGTTCGGCTTGCCTAGCAAGTGCGTTAGGTGCCATCACGCTCAATTGGTGGTTTTGGGTTGTGACAAGTTGGTATCAGAACCCTAGGTTCATAGGTTCTACAGGTCATAAGCAAGTTTAGTAGAGTCATGCGAATCGGTACGGAGACGTATGTACTTATCTTTGAGAGGCTACCGAATTGTTAGGAAACTTCACTTTCTTGCATTCTTGTCGTGCGAATTTGTTATTTTTTAAGTTTGAACCTTAATTATATTCTCTCACAAATGGTGAGGACACGTTCAGACAGATCAAGCGGACGGGCACCATTACCACTAGTTAGGGCCACGAGAGGTCAGGGTCGAGGTCAGGATCACGCTGCAGCTAGAGCAGCACCTGTAGAGCCACCAGTCACTCCGGTAGAGGAGCAGGTTCCGGATACTGTTGAGCCAGTGCGACCAGCGCAGACACCGACGGTACCTATTATTATACCTGGTATTCATGAGGCCTTGGCTTTGATCTTGAGTGTGTGCACGAGCTTGGCTCAGGTGGTTATAATACCAGTTGCACCAGCTACCTCGTAGGCTGGTGGTAACATCTGCCACCTTCTTAAACATGGCATCATCCAAACATTGGTGGATGAGCGTGAGGGCTTGTTGATCATTCTTTCTCGTCTTTGCCAAGACCTCTTTTTTATTTTGAGCCAGAAATTCCTCATTATCGGGTTTTGCATACCCTCTGTCTATGATTTCTCATACATCCTGAGAGCGAAGAATGACTTTCATATGTAGACACCATTTCTCATAATTATCTTTTGTGAGACGGGTATACGGAAAAGACAGCGAACCATTTACTCGCCATGGATCTGATACCACGTTGTTGGAAAAAAATAATATCCCACCCAGGAATAATATCCATAGTAAATAACAATAACACAAGAGAGTAACAACGACACCAAATCTTTTAACTAGGTAAAATACAATATCCAAGTGGAGAAATATAATATTACTATAATATTACAACTTGGTAGTGTCAAAAAACTATTACAACTTCAAAATAAATAACACTCTTTATTTTAAACACATCACTACAATATTACTACCACTCAATATTTATCTCACAGACTACAATCTGTGAATTACTCTCTCTAACTCTCTCCGTCTTCTCTCGATTTTGGTGTGTTTTGAAATGAAACTGAATGGCTCTATTTATAAGGAAAGAAGCCGTCCAATTCAGCCAATCAGACTCATTTGTTGCAATTTGCAAATCTGCAAATTATCATCTTGTTACTGTCCATTTCAACTTGTTGCAGCTTTTGTTTTGCCTTTTCTTTTATTTATTTTTATTTAAATGGGTCCCACATTTTATACTCAGATCTAATAGCTCCATGACTTAGTCTATTGTTGGGCTATATGGGATGTTATTCAAATATTATGTTATACATCTACACCTTATTTATCTTAGTCGGTTGAGTAGTATTCACTACAAAAAAAATAGGTAAATTGCGGAGGTTAAAATTGCAGTTTGCGGAGGTTAGAAACCTTCGCTATTTGCTGTCACGGCGGTTTAGCAGACCCCCGTAGTAAGCATCGCCACTATTAATTTGTGGCAGATAAATGCGAGGTTTTTCCGAACCGTCGTGACAGCAAATAGCGGAGGTTTCTAACCTCCGCAAACTGTAATTTTAACCTCCGCAATTTCATGCGTAAAAATAGATTTTTATTTTTAAAATATTTTTTTTTAGTGTAGGGGTTATAAATCCCCACAATTTCTTATGTGTATACCATCAGAATCTCTTCAATTTCTTTTGGGGGGTTTTAACCTCATATATTTTTAAATATATTATAGAATTGATTTTTATCATCAATATGCCATACGTTTTCCCTATTATCAATTGAAATATTTATGCTTAAACCAAAACATTAAAATTAAGAAACATCAATATTTCATTAATCGTGAAAATTACTGTGACAGTGTAGTATCATATGTCATCAAACTAAATTAGAACATAGTTAATCATCTATATTAGTCAGCTATTACATTGTCCTAACACATCCACTTCAATTAAAATGAATCTCAATGGTTGTCACTTGGATTACAAGCGCCAGAAGATCTTCTTGCATCCGTTGGTGAAACGGGTCCACTAGCTGCATCACTTGGCTGAAGCAAAAAGTAAAAAAAAATACAACTATTAAAACTGACCAAATATTTAATATGGGGGGGGGNGTACAACTATTAAAACTGACCAAATATTTAATATGGGGGGATCCACATGAGCCTCACTCTCCACTCCCCCCTCAACTCAACTATCAATTTAAAGACCCTGCAGCAAAGTACACAACTTAAAAATCATCAAAATTTTGACAAATTAAAATTGACCACAACTTAAAGCTAATACTTATGCATCTTGTAATTGTGTCTGCTGCTACAGGAGGGACAATTCACTATGCATGACTCATCCTTAAACCTCAAAATCCAAGAGAATACAAATTTTATATAAGGAATAAAGAACTCCAACTGTTGTCTCATCTAAAAAGCTCAACATCACATCAACATCACTTTTATGGATGTTGTGAGCAAAGTCATCTGCATCATTGCATAGAGGGCATTGCTGACTGATGTTCATACCCCAAGCTACCAATCTAACGTATCCAGTAGTTCTCACATATTTGGAGGTATGTGAATCCCTAGATCACTTGCTGATTAGCAAAGCGATAAAGGAAATTTATTCATGTATTTGGAATCAGAATAACAATGTTGGATTTTGCTGACCTATGAAAGTATAGTATATTTTTCGTTATCTGTTTTCTAGTTAGTAGTCCTCCCCATTAGATGAATTAATCAGATCTTTTTTACTGGCAAACTAATAATAGATACTCTGGTGTTAGTCACTTCCAATCAATCCAGAGATACGCAGACAGAAGCAACTCACAATGCCCTTACAGACAGATCACTTCCTACTCCAAAACTTTCGATGATTTACCAAGTGTAATTGTGACATAAATAATGTGCAGTACCTCTTTGATATGTTAGAATAAAAAGAATGAGAAGAAAAAGAAAAGGCAGCGACTCGTGTCTTCACAGTAAGTGAAGACTTTGGTTTGAGGAGTTACAGTTCATCAAAATAATATCATTTCTATCTATTTTGAGTTGGCAATGACTGAATTCATGCATAACTATACAACAGAATTGTCACTGTAATTGGCACTCAGCTACTCAATACACAATGAGCTATAAACAGACATGATCAAAAAATATAGCAAAAACAGAAACATATGCATTTAAATATAAAATACTAAAATATGCAATAAAGCATATTATCAATTCATAAGCTGTAGGTAAACATATCTGACAGCTCAACCAGAGACACTTTCAACAGAACTAGTCTATTTTTACTTAGATCAATAGGTACATATCAATTTGTTGCATTTGGTGTTTGTCAGAATCATTAGTGAGGCTGTTAACATAATATAACATTTGGGAACCATGGATGGTAGCTTTTCAATACACTAGGCCTTAAGAAAGCAGCAGTCTTAATTAGACTATAAAGATCTTCAATGCAAGTTTACGGCTTGAATCAGTAGAGCACTTTAAGACCTTCAAAATGTAAATATTGATGATATTATGCTAAATTCCTATCATATTTTCTTGGAAAACAACTAGAAATTTTTAGTCGGAGACGGTGAATACCTGCTAGATATATAGGGTTCTAGGTAGAGGAAATACTCAAAAATAGGAGGGAGTATAAAAACTTCCACCAAGATCAAAAGCAAAGATATTTGAAGTGATCAATATCACTCCCAAAACTCCATAGTCGCACCAGTTATTATAGTGACTCTCAGCACTTCACAAATAAAAAATAAAATTGCACAATACACCAAAAATAAAAGAACTTAGCATTTACCGTTGTAGGAGGAGAAGCAAAAATCCCAGCAAATTATTCTGGTATTGACCCTTCCTTCATTATCATGTATGCTTTAAGAGTATTCATCAATTGATTGTACTTCTCTTGGCATCCAGAAGAAGAACATCTAACATTATTACTCACAATTCTAATATTACCAAGACGAAAATTTGTCTCTCTGAAAGTATTGCTTGGAGTAGCTCCTAATCCCAAACATCTTACCCTTCCAGGATGCCCTTTGCCTAGCACCTTACCAACAACATCATTTGGAGTAATTTCAGATTCATCCATTTTACTTTCACTCACTGCTAGCTCAATTGTTTCCTAAACACAATACACATCAAAAAAATCAAGTAACTGGAATTAACAATTGCCTGTAATGCAACTATCTTTTATCTATTAAATTTCATGAAAATCATCTATATTTATAACAATCATGAATATAACTTACACATATTTCTTTTGCCTCCTCATTTACATATGATCCATCTTTTTTCGTATGTGTAGCAAGATAAAGTGTTGCTCGTCTAGGCTTTCTCCCTGTCTCAGCCATCTATGTATGAAAATAAAGATAAGTCAGAATAGTTTAATTAAAGATAAAGAAATAGATACAATATCTAAAATATAAACAGTAAAGTAAGATAAATAATGTGACATCTTTCATCATTTCAGTCTGCCACTTTGCGAATCCACATTTAGGACAAGGACACTTTATTCTATCTCCAACAACAGCATTAGCAAATGCAAAATCTAAAAATTGATTTAAACCAAATAAATATTCCGTGGTGTTCCCTGGCTTTCTACTCCAAGATTTATCCATAGAAAAGTATTAACTTTCAAGTGCGGCTGATGAACCTTTCAAAATATAAAGAGAAAATATCAGTTCTCTATTATTAGAATACAGAATATTAACTATGAAGCAATAAATACATAAAACAAAAGCCATCTATAATTATAAACACTACCAAACTTGAAAATCCTATAAGAAAGAATGCATTTGCATAGTCATGGTCATAGATATGATACATATATATTTTTCACTTGTATTAACTACTAGCCAGTTCTAGCTATCAGGGAAGACAACTGAATCAAAGAAAATCTATTAGCTTTACCCAAAGTAAAAACACTTTTACCTTTATAAATTATATTATACGCCTAGCATTCATCTTTTTTTTTTTAAAAGAAAGAACTTTCATTCTATACAAATAGCAGTAAACTCCCCAAGACAATGACAAGGCTATGCATTGAACAAATATCCAATCTTACTCTCAGGGAAACACTAAGATATTCTCAAGCATTAGCATGCACTTACAACATGCTCAGAGAGTTCTAATCTTAACTGGAAACACCAAGTCAACTCCTTTTCAATCATAGTCTAGGTTTCAGGTACACACTACACTTCATTCAAAAAGTGGAAATCAGCTCCATTGCAAAGGAGTTCATACAACTAGGTGGACATGGCACTTAAACGACATAATTGAGCTTCAACAATCAAATTTTGTTAGCATATACAAAATTTACTCCTATGCCACAGGTTATTGTAGCTATCCCTATCCCCTATGGCACAGGTGAAACCAGAGAAATTTTCTTCAGAAGCTAGAGGTTTATTTAGAATAGTTCCATAGAAATAAGAGATGACCTACCCATGTATATCATGTATTATGCGTGGGTGAATAATTTATCATTACCTTACTGAAACACCGGCAAGCCAACAGTTCCCATACCCACTGTCAGAATAGTGCAAAATCAAATGTTGTAACCAAACACTAGATATATCTTCTTACCAATAAAAATACTACTACCAGCAGTATTTCACTAGATCTTGTGCCATTCTTCTCAATGTTTGTATGAACTAGTACTACATTACAGAACAGAAAGGTTGCAATTATGGCACATATGTGGAGCTATAGGAAAGAAATAAAATCAGAAATCAATTGCCAATATGTAATCTCCAGTGGAAAATACAAGGATCCACACACTTCATTCCATTTCCTCAGAATTTACATCCCAATCAAATCATTAACAGAGAAAAACCACTCAAATATAACAGATCTTTACAAACTACACATATCAACTGCTTCAAAAATCCAAAAATTCTCTGTTATGAATGTGGTGTTTTATCCATTTTATCCTATGATTGCTTAAAATGCTATGGACTAATAGACTTGTGTCCACTGAAGACTTGTTTTACTTCTGTACCTTGTAGCTAATTAGAACTTTCTGCTTAATTTATGCTCATTATTTCCCTTGAAATAATTTGATTATGTGTTGTGCTGTTTCATTATCATCATCCTCAATATACTAAGATTCTTCTCAACAATCAGAGGTGTGATACGGTATTTAGTATGCTGCAGGACACCATTCTGAGACAATATACTGTCACCGCCGACCTTGCATGCCATTGTCTAATATTATATTTGTAACAAGCATAATCAGCTTAAATTAGATAAAGAATGAATTTGCAGTAGGCTAATGTCAACATTAAAGTACTATTAAGGATAAATGAGAGGAATCTTTGTTTATTGAAGATGATGTCTAAGTAAGAACATTGTTCTTTAAAACATGAATACTTCTTTAAAGGAAGAAATTTACATGAAAAGTGTTTCTTCTTTCATCCATTCTTTTTGAATCTTTCACACAACTAGCACCACATTTCAGAAAAACAACTTGAAAGAGCCTAGTAAGAGGTCAACAGCTTATGAATAACCTAGTGCAACAACCATTTATGCAGATAATGTCACATACATACAAAAGAAAAGCTCTCGAACTAAAGGCTCACAGATGCTTCATTGAACTAGGGGTCGATTCGACCATTAAACCCAAAAGCACAAAAAAAAAGTAAGGGAAAAGCACACAAAAATACATACAGATCGACCATTTAATACACACAAAAATTCAAAATTAACAGAAAACCCATGAGGGGAAATAAGGTAAGAAAGAGAAATCTTAAAATTGTGACATCAAATCTTGAAAATTATGTATACATATTATAGCACATGAATCTAGAAACTTACCAGAAAGAACTGGTTGGACACTGTTCAAAAGTATAGAAAATGCTAATAGAGGAGATAAGTGATCCACTTCTTTAGCTACATCTTCACTTTCAGTGAATAAAAGCGGTGGGAGTATTTTGTTGATTAATGAAGAAGAAGAAGAAGAAGCAAAGAACTTGACTAATGAAGAAGAAGCGGTGGGAGTATTTTGTTGTTGTTGAGGCGGAAGTTTCTAGGGCGAAAAAGATTGGGGAAAAATTGGAGGAAGTGTGAAATAAATTACCCGTTATTATTTTAAAGTTGCTGATGTTTTTAGATCCCCATAAATTGTATAATTTTGTGGGGGCTAATATATTGCCGTAAAATTATGAAAATGGCGGAGGTTACTTATACCCTCCGCAAATAAACCTCCGCAATTTACCCCTTTTTTTGCAGTGATTTCTTTCTCAATTTGTTTATGTTTTCCGAATATTTTAACTTAGAATGTCGCGGTCTAGATCCAGATTTGGGTCATGAAAGAATTTGAGAAGACAACTGAGGAATACCATGCAGTCATATTGAAATATTAGAGAAAAATCTGAAGCAGGTTCTCCTTCATCTCAAATTTGGAAGATTGAAGATGAAATATAAAATCTAAAGAAACAAATGGCCGGCCTGCATCTCAAGACAAAAGGCCAAACATAGGCAACAACAGCTAGGAGAAGACACCCTTTAACTTATGTGATAGCTTCAGCAGAAATATCTGCACGGGGCAGACGTCGAGTGAAGGTGATGCAAGCGCTTGGTAATCTGAAAATTAGTTATAACAGTTCGCTTAGAAAATAATTTCGGGCTCAAAGCAGGAGAAGGGCTGAAGGGTTGACTTAGCGCAAAGTGATCAGGAGGCCACGAGTGCAAGCCGTAAATATAACTTTTGCAGAAATGCAAGGTAAAATTTCACATAATAAACCTTCCTAACATTTTGACATCAACTCATTTATTTGTGAAGGAAAATATGATTTTGTTTTTAACGTTCGAATTTGAAGTTAGTAAATATACTATTAAGCCTGGCCAATATGAAACAGTTGCTTTTCTTCCTTCACTTGCGTATATATATCACTTTTAGCTCGCGCCAGAAACTATTTACATTTAATAGCCGAAAAAATCCATAAAATTTATATAATTTTTATATATAACATACAGAATGTATATATATACAAAAAATATATTTTTTTCGGCTATTATTTTGAGAGCGGCTATACAGTGTCATTTTCCCTAACCATTTCCTATAGAAGTGATTAGCTTGCAAAGTGTAAGCCTTATTCCTTTTGTGCTAAGGTAATCAATTTAAGATTGCTAATTTGTTTATGGCTGGAAAAGTTTCTGTTTTGCTAGCATCATATTGAAATGATTAGTTTCATTCGTGTTCTTAATTTTTCCATTGCTTCTTAGCGAGTTTAAAAGTTTCAAATTACACCAAAAAGGTAAGAAACATTTGAAGTATGGCAAGACTGTGTCCTCTGCAGAGGTCAGAAACTTTACACACTATTTTGTCAGAATCTGTAAGATTCTTATTTCTTAATTTCAAAGGAATGGATTTGACCAATCAAATGTGGTTGCATCCGTTGTTTTAGTTCTCAAGTGTGTCTCTGTGCAAGTATCTTTCTAACCAAGTTAGAGAGCAATGAAAGGGTGTGGAGTTATATTAAGATGTTTGCTTTGTTCGATAAGATTAAGAATTAGCTGGTCCACTTTCATTTGCTATGGCATCATAGGATGCTCATTAGTTTACTTTTCCCTTCTATGTCGGAGTTCAGCTGTAAAGCCATGAACAACCTCGACCACCGTGAAAAGCTCCATAGAAGACCTTCTTTCTCCATTAATCCAGCAAAACCACCTAACACTATCCTTAAATAACCATTAAAAACATTTCAAAAAACAACAGCAGAATCCATAAAAATCAGTCTAAAACCTCCCATAACCATAGCTTAAGCCGGCAACGGAAGAGGGATTAATGGTATAAAAGCTAAGGGAGGCTACAGAGGAAGGGGGAGAGATGAGAGGATAGGTGAAGATTATAGTTAGTTTTGGTTGAAATTTCAAATTGAAAATTAAAGAGGAAGAAGACAAATAAAATATATATAAACCATATACAAAATAAATACAAACGACATATTGTATAAAATTTATATGAAATTTTTTATTTAAGTTTTATGATGTTATAGTTGTATTTAACTTGTAAGAATGATGTATGAAAGTTGTGAATAAGTTGTATATTGTATAATTATGTATGCGATTTGTTTTTAATTTGTATGTTGTTGTGGATGTATCAACTTTGTATTAAATTTATACGAAATTTTTATTTAATTTGTATGTTGATGTATCATATATTTTTCTTTTCTTGCTCGATTTGTTAAAGAAAGAAAAGAGAATAAAATCCAAATCGATTCATTTGCGCTGATTCGTGTTCCACCAAATCGAAATTGTCGCACTTCGAGAAAATCAAATTTCGTCCGAGACCTGAATTTTGTGTGAGAAATTAACAGGATAATATAGATACTTGTTCGAAACACTAATACGA